TGCAAGGCTGGAGAAGGGCACAGTGCCAGGCCCTGCTGTTCCCGCCCACTGCGGTCCAGCTCAGTCCTGCCGGAGTGGCAGTCCTACCCTCACCAGCCCTGCGGGAGGTGCCGTGGGCACGAGGCACGGGTGCCCCTCCAAAGCACATGCTCACTGACTGTCCACAGGCTGGCTGCCCTGGCAGGGCTTTCAACTGCACATGCTTTTTATACTTTCTTTATTAACATATGTTTTACAAAAACATGTTTTATACAAATGGATTTCTATGATCACTTGATATGATACAGTATAAATATGCTATGGTTTGTTTGCTACGAGCAGATATTCAGCAGTTATGGCTGTTTAGCTTCTAAGTACTAGGGAAGGGGTGTGGTGCATTTCCATCTTATAAACCCTTCATTGTACTCATTTCTGCATCACTCAGTAACATTACTCTTACTTAAAAAAAAAAAAAAAAAAAAAAAAAGAGGGGCCCAGGACAGTGGCCAGCAGCACTGCAGCGGGGGCAGGCCTCCCTCTGAGGGTGATTGACTGGGGGCCCTGCCAGCAATCAGCCCGCAGTGGGAGGCCCCGGCCAGCTACGCGATCACCTCCCAGGACTGTCACCTGCAGAGGGAGGTGACCAGCGGGGGAGGCGTGAAGGGGGCAGTGCTGGAGATGGCAAGCAGTGGCAGTGGTGGGGGCGGGGCCAGATGCCAGCATTAGGGGAAGGGTAGGCCATGACCTCAGGCCAGGCCTAGGGACCCTACCCGAGGGGTCCCAGATTGCAAGAGGTCCCGTTCCCCACTGCCCCTCCCCCCCCCACCCCCCCCAGTGCAGAAATGTTTTCATGCACCGGGCCCCTAGTTTCTTTATAAAAGAGAAAGATGTGCATTAGTGCTGCCACAGGCATGCTAATTGCTGCCTCAGCTTATAGACATTTGAGTTTGCAATCCCCCCCAACAGTCTTTGTATATTCCTATTATGTTTACATGTTTATTTATTTAAGATTTATTTCTGAACAGTGTCCTGCCACTGCTCTGGGCATGGGGACACAGTGCCAAGGAAGGACAGGCTTGCCTTGTGTCACATGGACCCACAGCGTATCTTGTGGCAGTTTTGGGCTGTAGGTTTGTCCTTCCACTGGACGGAGCTCCCCTAGTGGTAAGGGTGCAGCCTCTGAAGCCCTCCTGCCATGGACCTAACTCCAGCCGGCGCCTTCGGAAGACTGTCCAACTTCTCTGTGACTTGCTTTTCTTACCTGCAAAGTGGGACTGATAACTGTCCTTTCTTTCCAGTGGAAGCACGAGGTAAGATGCATTAAAACACAGCATCTCCTAGTAAAGGTGAGCTCTTATCACCCACCTGTGTCCCTGAAAGAATAGTCTTCTGAGAGAATGAATGGGGGAGGGGGGGCTTAGCCACCACTGTTGTCTGTGCCAGTAGCCATTGTCTCAAAGAGCCAGTCAGGTGGCAAAACCCACCCTTGATATTGACTCATCTGCCCTTTCCCTAGGACCAAAGGTCTGTCCTAGGCCTCACAGATCTTTATCCGATGGAAAGCCCCTCCATTTCTCGGGGAACTGGCTGCCAAATAGAGGCTGCAGGCCCGTCCCCATTCTCCACACTGCAGCCTGCACGCGCCCCTGCCCCCTCCTGGCTCAGCGTCCTTCATCCCCTCTGTACGGGGAAAGGGCAGTCAGACACAATAAGGCTCCCCAGGAGTCCCTGCAGCCCGGGAGCTCTGCCTGGCCACGTTTCTAGTTTTATAAGAAGTCTAGCTGCAGCCCGGAAGCCACACACATCGTCGTACAGTGGCTGGTCATATCAGGTTGTACATGCTGAGCCTGAGATCGTACCCCTCCCCAAACCTAGTGCATCCATGCTGTGACCTGTGCTCAAACAAGCAAAGAGAAACACACCTTCCCTTGCCTGCATGTCCAGCCAGTGAGCACGACAGGGTTCTTCATTCCCCAGTGTCTCCTGAAAGTCTGCCACATGCAGCATCTCTGTAAAAGCTAGTGATGTCACCATAGCAAAACATGCCACGGGCCTGCCCCCTTGAGGGGAAGATAAGACTGCCTTGATAAATAGCATATGGTGGCCCAGAGTGGGGCCGTGAGAAGCAGTAAGCCAGGGAGAGGCACTGGGTGGTGGGAGTTCAATTCAGTGGGGTTTTTAGGACTAGCCTCCATGAGAGGGGCCAGAAGGTAAGACCTGAAGAACGGGATGAAGCAGCAGATGAGTGCGGCCTTCTAGACAAGGCACCCGATGCAGAGGGAGCAGCCAGGGCTACAGCCTGTGGCTGGATGGTTACAGGGGTGTCATATGGACAGGGAGCTTTGTCAGGTCCATCTCTTCCCTTCCTCAGCCCCAGTGTTGGTCTCTGACTAGCTGACTGCAGACCAATCCAGTGTTTAGGGTTTAAAACAATTATTTATTGAGCCTCTATGAGTGGCACCGCTTTATTATCATCATGGTTGGTTTTGTTTTTGTTTGGGGTTGTTTACATTTAAACAACAGAATTCACAACCAAATTTTAGTACCTACCTCGGCCTGCGATGCCAGCCCTGCACTCTCTGGGCCTAAGGACAATCTGTCCCTTTGGGCCTCAGCCCCCCTGTTCAACAGGGTGCAGCGGGCACAGCAGCTCCCCCTGCTTTCCTCTCCTGACCTGAGGGGTGGGGATCCCTCCACCTCAGGGGCGGGAGGAACTAGGGAAAGGATAGACATGGCATCCATGTGAGGCGCTGTGGCTCCTCTGAGCCACCACAGCTCCCGCTGCCTGGCGGAAAAGCTTTGACTTTCTCCGCAGGTCTGCTGTGGCCCGGAAAGCTGCCTGGGGCTCTTTCTCTGCCTGCCTGAGGAGGACCTGGTTCCAGGGAACCAGACCCACCGTTTCCCTCTCCTGACCTTCCAGGCCTCCACACACTACACTAGACCGCACCCCACTGCTCCTGTGAGTGTGTATGCTGGCATGTGTGTGCACCGTGGTGGGGACGTCCTGGTTTTCATGTATCTGAGTGGAATGAAGGCATCCCTCTGCATGCCCCTGTGAGTGGCTGTGGGGGGGGGAGTGTGTGTGTGTGTGTGTGTGTGTGTGTGAGTGTGTGTGTCTGTGTATGAGTGTGTGTGTATGTGAGTGGGTGTTTGTGTGTGTATGTGAGTGTGTCTGTGTGAGTGTGTGTGAGTGGCTGTGTGTGTCTGTGTGTGTGAGTGTGTGAGTGTGTGAGTGTTTGAGTGGGTGTGTGTGAGTGGGTGTTTGTGTGTGTGAGTGGCTGTGTGTTTGTGTGTGTGTATGTGTGAGTGTGTGTGTGTGTATGTGAGTGTGTGTGTGTGTCTGAGTGTGTGAGTGTGTCTGTGTGTGAGTGGCTGTGTGTGTCTGTGTGTGTGTGAGTGTGTGAGTGTGTGAGTGAGTGTGTGTGTGTGAGTGTGTGTGTGTGTGTGAGTGGCTGTGTGTTTGTGTGTGTGTATGTGTGAGTGTGTGTGTGTATGTGAGTGGGTGTGTGTATCTGAGTGTGTGAGTGTGTCTGTGTGTGAGTGGCTATGTGTGTCTGTGTGAGTGTGTGTGTGAGTGGCTGTGTGTGGGAGGAGAGTGGGGGGTTTCTGTGGGTGTGTGAGTGTTTGAGTGTGTGTGTGAGTGTGTGTGTGTGTCTGTGTGTGTGAGTGGCTGTGTGTGTGTGAGTGGCTGTGTGTGTCTGTGTGTGAGTGTGTGTGTGTGAGTAGCTGTGTGTGTGTGAGTGTGTGTGTGTGAGTGTGTATGTGTGTGAATGTGTGTGTGAGAGTGTGTGTGTGAATGTGTGTGTGAGAGTGTGTGTGTGAATGTGTGTGTGAGTGGCTGTGTGTGTCTGTGTGTGAGTGTGTGTGTGAATGTGTGTGAGTGGCTGTGTGTATGTGTGAGTGTGTGTGAATGTGTGTGTGTGTGTGAGTGTGTGTGTGAGTGGGCGTGTGTGTCTGTGAATGGGTGTGTGCGTCTGAGAGGCTGCAGTAGCGTTGGTCCTGACAGGAGGCTTCCCTAAGCCAGCCCGCACCCTCTCAGAGGCTCATGCTCTGGAACCAGTCACAGGCACACAGACACACATGCATGCATAGACACACGAGCAGACACACACATGCATGTGCACAGAGACACATGTGCAGACACACATACATGCACACAGAGACGCACTGCAGTCACACATACGTGCGCACAGACACACATGCAACACACGTGCATGTGTGCAGAGACACACGCAATCACGCATGCATGCGCACAGACACACATGCAGCACACATGCATGCGCGCAGACACACATGCATGCACACAGAGACACACAGTCACACATGCATGCACACAGACACACATGCAACACACATGCAACACACATGCATGCGCGCAGAGACACGTGCGCACACATGCATGCGCACAGAGACACATGCACAGACACATACATGAGTGTGCACAGACACACATGCATGCACACAGACAACGCATGCAGACTCAGACACAGACACATTCCCTTGGGCTCAGCCTCTGGAGGGAGTGAACATCTGAGCATCCTGGCTCTGCTGCCTCCCTCCTGGCCCTGGGTGGGAAGTCCTCCGGAGACTGGCTGGGGATCAGGCTGAGGACACGTGGGAGGGGGGAAGGGGCCGCGGGAGCAGAGGGCACACCCCACCGCCCCTCCCACAGCGGGGCGCCTGCTCCTCCCTCGCCTCCCTGGGGTTTCCAGAGGACTCCTCCTAACCTGGCCCTGGAGCCCCAGCGCAGCAGGGAGCCCCTCCTCTGATCCCCCGCCTCCGTCCCCCACCCCCTACCCGCCCGGCAGTGGTGATTGGCTGTGGGGAGCAAGGTCCCCAGCCCCGCCAGGGCTCTGGCTGGAGCGGATCGGTACCCAGACGGGAGCCCCGAGGCTGTGCTCCGCTCTGGAGGGAGCGGGGCGGGGGCAGGGACCCGGAGAGCGGGCGGCCGGCCGGCCAGGGAGGCGCAGGCCCGCGGAGGAGGCATCGCTCCCCAGCCCCGCATGGGAGCGCCGGCGCCCATGGAGCTCACGCACACCCCACTCGCCGCCAACAGCTCCTGGTCCCCGGGCTGGGCCTGCGGCCTGGGCCTCCTGCCCCTGGTCTACTACAGCCTCCTGCTGGGCCTCGGCTTACCAGGTGAGGGGCCAGGTGAGGGGCCAGGTGAGGGGGCCAGGTGAGGGGGTACCAGGTGAGAGGGCCAGATGAGGGGGTACCAGGTGAGGGGTCCAGGTGAGGGGCCCAGGTGAGGGGGCCAGGTGAGGGGGCCAGGGGACTGGGTACCAGGTGAGGGGGCCAGGGGACGGGGTACCAGGTGAGAGGCCCAGGTGAGGGGGCCAGGTGAGGGGGCCAGGTGAGGGGACGAGGTGAGGGGTACCAGGTGAGGGGGCGAGGTGAGGGGGCCAGGTGATGGGTGCCAGGTGAGGGGGGAGCAGGTGAGGAGGTGAAGCCCTAAGAGCTCTCGCCCTGCCAGGGACCCAGGCTGTCCACCTCCTCCTGGCCGCCCGTGGCCCCTCTGAGAAAGTTTCAGCCTAAAGGGCAACTGCGGACGTGTTTGTTTGGTTGTTTGTTTGGGGGGTGCGTGGCGGCGGTGCTGTGGGTTGGAGGGTGCTGGTGAGTGTGTGCGCCTCCTGGGACTGAGGGGTCAGGGGGGCACTGTGCCTGACCGCACCGCTGGACAGATGCCCGATGTGGGCAGGCTCCGCTGGGGAAGGAGGCGCTGGGAGGGGCAGGACTGGGCACCCTAAGGGCCTCCGGCCAGCTGGAGAGGGAGGGGCTTCTGGGACGAGGCAGACTGCGGACGGGGGGGGGGGGGGGGGGGGGCGGCGGGGCAGAGGGTGCTCCGCCAGAGCAGGGTTGCCACCTGGGCCGCAGCCTCCTTGAGGACCAGCCTCGCGGCTGGCTGTGCCGCCTGGCCCATCAGCAGCTCTGTAGGCAAACACCACACCCTAGCATCCTCTCCAAAGTGCACGGGCTCCGCTGGATTCCCCGGGAGCTGAGCTGGGGGTGGGGCTCCTGGGCTCTGAGAGACACCCCCCCTCCAGCTGGCTGCGATCAGAAAGGCTCCCAGTGAGCACCTGCAGGAGATGGGCGAGGGACGTCCCTGTGCAGACTCGGATCCTAGCACCCCCCGGAATCCTAGCACCTCTCGGGATCCTGGCACCCCCCCCCCCCATCCCAGCACCACCCAAGATCTAGCACCCTCTGCCCCCGGGATCCCGGCACCCCCCCATCCCAGCACCCCCCAGGATCCTAGCACCCTCTTCCCCCCGGGATCCCGGCACCCCCCCAACCCAGCACCCCCCAGGATCTAGCACCCTCTGCCCTCAGGATTCCGGCACCCCCCCCCATCCCAGCACCCCTCAGGATCCTAGCACCCTCTGCCCCCGGGATCCCGGCACCCTCCCTACCCCGGCCCCCCGCCCCCTCCCCCTTCCAGCTTGAGACCCAGGCTTGGAAGCTGTGTCTGAGAGCCCATGTGAGGTTTCCATTCCAAACCTTCACCTGGGTAGCCAGGTGCCAGAACCATGACTTGGACTTCACAGAACTAAGGCTGCCTCCCCACCATGCCCTGCCCTGCCCCGCCAGCGGTGAGGCTTTATTGCTAACTGAAGGCCGGACTCTGGAGCGGCTCTGGGGAGCTCTCTTTGGGGAGCGGGCCTCTTAGGAGGTCACTGACCTGGAGAGGTGGCGGGTCCCTCTCCCCTGAGCCCTCACAGGGGAGAGGGTCTCCCCAACCCTCCCTGCTGGCTGAGCAGCCACTGCCTCTGGCTGTTCTCCTGCAGAGCTAGTCAGGGACAGACAGGCACAGGGAGAGGCTGGCCAGAGCAGGGCCTGCGAGGGGAAGCTCGGACCTTCAATCACCCCACACTTCACAGCCTGAACCCCATGTCAGCGGCGCCTTTCCCACCCACAGTATTGGCACCTACTCATGCCAGACATGGACTCCACAGGCTGGGCAGGGCTGGAGACTTTGAGTGCGGAAGAAAGGAGGGCCTTGGACTGAGATTAGAGAGTGAAGGATAGTTCTGTGTTTAAACACCCAATAAGTGTTAGGATCACCTACAGTGTGCCAAAGGGACCCAGGGCGCCCTGGAGACTCCTGGGTTCACAGGGGTACGCTTATGGTCTAGAGGCAGCAGTGGGCATGGGGACCGCATTTCAGAGATGATTGACAGGCCGCTCGCATAAAGGTTATGGGCTGATGACGGTTGTTTGTCAACTGTGCGAGGTGGTTTGAGGTGAAATCCTGGTTACTCTTTTAAAACCACGGGTGGCCAGTTTGCTGGTGCGGAAGGTGCAGTGTAGGGAAGCAGCCTGGTGCTGACCTGTGGCCTTCCGTGTCCTGTCCTGTATCCACATATGTGAACAGGTGTGAACAGGTGTGAACAGGCTTCCTGAGCTGCAGCGAGGAGCCCGGGCAGGAGGTGGCGGGAGCTTGGCCCTGGCTCAGACCTCTGGCCTCCAGTGCTGATGCCATGCTGTGACTAGAGGCTGTCAGTGTGAGGAGGAGGCAGCGGGTGGCCCACACTGAGCAGAAGAAGGCCTGGGAGGCCCCAAAGAGGAGAGGGGCCCTCCCTCCCCATTACCCCCCACACACACACACACACCCTCCCTCCCCATCAGCCCCCCACACACACACCCTCCCTCCCCATCACCACACACACACACACACACACACACACACCCTCCCTCCCCATCACCACACACACACACACACACACCCTCCTTCCCCATCACCACACACACACACACCAGGAGCAGTTAGCCACTCCTGCGCCCCACCTCACTCTGCTGGGTGTTAGGTGACCATGTGGGGCTTGGAGACGTTGTTGAAAACAGATATTTTAATTGAATCTTTTTTCCTGGCAGAGGCCACCTCTTCATGGTGGCCAGAGGGGGGAACAGAGGGTGGGGAACGCCTGTGAGCTGGGAGGCTGTGACTAGGAGGAAGTCACTTTTCCTGCCATGTCCTCTGGATGAAGAGGGGGAGCTTGGGAAGCGTCATGTGGCCCAGTCCCTGCCGCCAGGACCTGCCCAGCAGGTGCACGTAACAGGCCGATGTGGGTGCAGGGGCTCTCATGTTGAAGGTCGGACTGGGCTCTGCCACTTGAGGATTCCCAGCTGCTCTGTGCCCAATTTCCTCCTGGAACATCAGGGGCAGCCATGCCTGCCGCCGCGCAGGCAGTGGTGTTAACGTGGTCACCTGTGGAGCCCTTGCCCCGCGCCTTCACTGCCAGGAATCCTCGCACTGACAGCCATGCGGCTGCACTCAGCGGGCAGATTGCTGGCTTCCCTGCTCCTTACACTCCATCCCTTCCCTCCTCCTTGATAGGTAAGCCAGGCCTTCCTAACTGAGGCACAGGGAGTGGAGCCCACCAGGAGGTGGGCCTCTGGGATGAGCCGTGCACTCAGGAGGCAGTGCTAGTGGGGGGGGGGCAGTGTGCCCACAGGGAGGAAGGAGCAGAACCACATTAAAGGATGACGCAGAGGTAGTCTACCTCAAGGGCACAGGGATGCAAGGGGAGGCAAGGGGAGGAGGAAGTGGCCACCAAGCAGGTGCCAGTGTTTCCAAACTGCCCGGTGAGGCAGCGTGGCCTCTGACTGGGAGGTGGAGGAGGTGCCTGCCTGTAGTCTGGACGGCATCGGTGCCTGGCACAGGGTAGTCAGCCATTGTCCTCAGCCAGTGGTGGAAGACGGTGACCAAGAGCAGACTGGCCCTCCAGGTGCTCCCTTCCTCCCAGAAACATCTTCAGAGAAAATGAGGAAAATGGGGTGAGAGTTAGGCCAGGGGGGACCAGAGTGTGAGTTCTGGCTCTACAGCTTGTCTGTGTGCGACCTTAGACAGTGGCTTTTCCTGGTGCAGACGAGCATCTAGACACATCCCAGGGCTCCGAGAATCCCAATGGGCTAAGCATGTCACACCTGTTGGGTACATAGCACGCACTCCCTACGCCATTTTTTATCATTTAAAAATGACTTCCTAGGCCTTGGCCCAGTGCTCAGTTCATAGGAGTATTGTCTTGAACACCAAAAGGTTGCAGGTTTGATACTCAGTGAGGGTGCAAATGGGAGGCAGCCAATCAGTATTTCTCACATCCATGTTTCTCCCTCTCTCTTTCTCTCTCCATTCACTCTCTCTAAACACACACACATATCCTGTGTGAGAATTAAAAAAGCATATTTCGGGGAAAATTGACTGCATGTTTTATAACACCAGCTTACCCTAATATCAAATCCAGACAAAGGTATTACAGAAAACTGCAGACCAATACTCCTCCTGAGCAAACTCCGCAGCAGGGTGTCAGCAGGTCCGTCCAGGAATGGGCCAGGTGGTGACATCACGATGCAGCAGGCTCCGTCCCAGGCATGCCAGGCTGGCTCCGTGTTGGAGAGTCACTCAGTGGGAGTCCCCATGGTAACAACTGGAAGGGGGGATCCCATGATCACCTACTAGATGCAGAGAAGTATTTGACAATAAAACCTCATCAAACTAGGGACAGAGATAGAACTTCTCTGTTGGCAGGTGATGTAATTGTCAAGCTGAGGAAAAGGCTGCTTTCTGATGCAGCTGTGTGTGTCAATGGCCTCACAGGAGAGTTTTGCCAAATATTCAAAGAACTAACACCTATCCTCCCCAAACTATTCCAAAAAATCCAAGAGGAAGGCATACTTCCAAACTCTTCTTATGAGGCCAGCTTTAATCTAATTCCCAAACCAGGTAAAGACACTACAAAGAGAGAACTACAAGTCATAGATATGCCTGGCCAGCACAGCCAAAGTTTCAGGGAGTCTATAAGGGAGGGCGGGCTAAGGATGAAGAAAAGACATACAAAGGGAATAAGTTGGGTTTAGGTGGATCTTCTGTGCCTGACTGAGACCACAGAACAGATCCAGAAGGCAAGCTGAACCTTTATTTTATAGTCAGAGGTAAACAAAGTAGTGGTCACAATGTTACAATGTTCTTGTGAGTTTCACTTGTTTTGGCAGCATTTGCTTCAGTCCCACAGCCCATTAGCTACTCAGGAAGAATCAGGGAGTGTCATAAGGTCAAGCTTAATTATGCTAAGAACGCTGTGCCCTCTAAGCTGGGACTTGTTTGCAGCTTTGCCAGCAGGTCAGTCCAAGGCTTAACCTAC